CGTTTAAAATATGCGCGAGGTACAGTGGAGCCAAATCCTGCTAATGGGAACAAAATGATTTGTTAATTGATTAAGGTCGTTTTCTCGGTGACGAATTAACTCTTTTTCGGCAGTGAAATTTCAATTCTTGTATTGAAGGTCAATAGCCAACTGCCCGAACGAGAGTTAGCTCGTTACTTTGCATAATAGCCTAAGTTAAATATTTTTTAAACTAAGTAATATGCTGAAATGTGACAAATGATTAAATAAAATTTCAATGTAGGCTATTTTTGTGTATACGTTTAGAGTCCGATCCCTTGGCAACGATTTTTTTTTCAGAAGAAATTCATGCTTATTTGGAAAGAGTCCAAAAAGCTGCCAGCTAAAAGGAAAAAAATAATTAAAACACCAGCACACAAAAAATTGGTGTGTGCTTATAACCTGACCCACCTGAGGAGATGTATTTCGACCCGCTGAATCCTAATCTGAGGTCCGTTTGACTCGTACGCCCTCAATTTCAGTAAATTGCGAAAATTACGATTTGTTTTGCTCGAAATTCACTCAAAATTTTGGGGGTGTACGAGTCAAATGGACTTCAGATTCGGATTCAGCGTGTCCAAATATGTACATGTCGGTAGTTGGGTCTGGCCGGTGTTTTTGTATGCAAAAGTGTACCTCAAACGTTCTACAAACAACGAAGTGCAAAACTGAGTCCATGGTAATTTTTGTTAAATATTTGCAGTTATTAAAGATAATATTTTTTTGTTATTTTTGTTTTTATAAAAGAACGGTCTATGCTTCGACCAAAACCATATTAATCAAAATTTCAGAGCTTAGAAAAGATCAACAAATTTTAACAAAAATTTAAAAGTTTTTAATCTGAGTCTTTAGAAAATGTTTGCGTATTTACATATGTATCTAGTTTTACAGCCGTTAAATTTTAGTACAATAAAGTGCAAGTTTTAAACGGCTGAAAAATTGTTTGCAATATTTTTATTTTTCTGGCGGCTTTTGCCGGTTTTTTCATAAAACAAGTGCAATTTATAAAAAACTAACGATGATTTTTTTTTCGTAATTTTATTTGCAAATGGTCTTGCGCATTTTCTTCCACAAGAAATCTCTTGCTTATTTGGAAAAAAAAAACTATTACATTCTTTTCTTTGTTTTTGTTTTTGAGAATATTCGGCTCTATTATGGTTGTAGAACATCGATGTAATTTTTTCAACTCAGCTACGAAAACCACAGTATTTTTGGGGAAAGGTGTTCTTCGCAAAAATACTGTAGTTAGCGTAGCTAGAATTGGACCTAGTCCCAGAATTTTCGAGGTATCCGACTTGAATTTTCTAAAAGGGTGTCTTTTTATAATGTACTGGCAGATATATTTATATACCCGGCGTGCTTCACTGCGCTTTAATAGTGTTTTTGTGCTGTTTAATACGTATTGTAATATGTCATTTATTTTATCAATTTCATTTAATACACTTTTTCTCCAAAAATATTTTCGGCAGTAAACTTTGCTAAACGTCTTCCGTTTGATACCCATCTTGCGATATTCAATTTATCTTATCGATTTAACTGAATTAAATTTTGAAACAGGTGACAACCTTTCACAAAATTATTTTCGGCTGTAAGCCTTCTTAAACCTCTTTCTGTTGGTAGCCATATTGCAATATTTACTTTACCTTGTCCATTTAACAAACTGCAATTTTCAAAAAGATGGCAAATCTCTAATTATTTCTTTTCGATATTTTAAATTAGACCTCTAGCAAGAACCACTTCATGTTGAAAACTTTTGATCAGTCGCGAAAAAATGCATTCGTAAAATGTGTCCACAAGTTGTAGTCCGGTTGCGACGCACAGTGGCGGAAATACTCCATCTAGCATGAAAAAAGTCAAACTTTGTCTGCTTAAAATCGTGCAAAATTGTGATGGGGGTTTGTTGTCAAATTCCCTTAGGTTATAACTGTATTTCTTTTTTTCTGTTTCTCCTCTTGCTTTAGAATTTGTAACGCATAAAAGTCGAGCAAACTAATTCAGCTTTCGTTGCCTATAGTTTTTGTGTAACTAAACGGGTTCACGTGTTAATCAATTACTTTTGCAATACTTTTTTTTATATCATTTCGGCACGAAAGATTCTTTCCGTTTTGTGTAAATAATTGTTGAAATGTTGTAGTTTTTGTATGTTAGATTTTTATGTGACTCTTATTTTGAATTAGAGTTTCGAAAAGGAGGACCCCGGAGTCCGGACCCGGACCCCGGAAAGAGGGAAACCATCTTGTTCCAAAATAGAAAGACCTTGAAAGCCGTTTTCTGAGAAGTGTTCGAGAGAAAAATTCCTCGAAGTTCCTCATGTTGGCGATAATAGCAGCGAAAACTCGTTCTAACAACGAAAGTAAGCTAATGTAAAACCGGAAAGCGAAATGCTGTCAAAATGTTGGGCGAGATGAAAGTTAGGAGTTTTTTCGTGCTAGATTAAGAGTATTTACCACTGTGCGACGTTCGTGATGCTCTGCAATTATCGCTAGTGAGTAAGCTATCTCTATTGAAATGTACGCTTTTGATCCATATAAGCTTGGGGCCCTTCAGCATGCTTGCTTCATAAATCACTGCGGTGAACAGTTGTTTGCCGATATGACAACTTTACCGAAGCATACAAGTGTTAAGAATCATTTTAATACGAATATCGAGCATGGATCGTTTCATTTTGCTCAATTCATAATCACAACAACACTACCATTCCAACTGAACTTCTTGCGATTATGACTTCATTTGCAGAGACCCTTAACATTCAATTTGCCAAAATGAAGTGTGAGCAAATTTAAACAAGAATTTGTTGATAATTCCGAAGAACAAAATATTTTACGCTTTGTTTGCTTGGATTTCACGCTCAAGTGAGAGTGATTGTCAAGCAGACACTTACACACATACATACATACATACTACATGCGCACATTTGTATGGTTGGAGTGGGTTCATTCGTGGTGGAGGTGGCGGTGTCGGTGTCGGCAAGTGGGTGTCATATTTCAAACAGCCGCAACAAATTCAACCGAAATCGATGCGGCAACCGCCACTAATGTCAAAGCTACTGGCATTTGATGTTGGTGTTGGCGCTGCCGTTGCCTTTGGCGTTGAATTTGTCTTTACTGCTGTCATAACGTTTGCCACAAGCTTTGACACACCCCATTAACCTCTTCCATACAAGATGTTGCTTTTGCCGCTATCGCCGCACACCGCAGCCGCTTCTGTAGTTACTGTTGTTGTCTTCATAATTTCGTTTGACAGGATATTAAGGGGCGGTGCAATCGTCCGGTTGTTTATGCGTTCTCGCCAAGCTTCAATTGCATTTCTTTGTAGTAAAAGTAATTCATTTTTTTGTGACAGCACAGATTACTTAACTGCGCTTAATTTAATTCATACATAAATATGTATGTACGTTATAAATGTGTAAATATTTAGATGTGAATTGAGGGTGGGGGTTTGATTGCCGAATGGGACTAATTTAATTTGTGTGTTGGGGAGACACAGATTTCCGTTTGAAAAAATTTGAATATTTGCAGGCGTAGTTAATACTGTATACAAATATGTTAACTTTAAATTTGAATTATTTATTTACTTATTAATTTGAAAATTTGAAAAAAAGAAGAAAACGGAAGTCAAATAGAAGAGTGGCCTTATTACATATCGTTCCCTTAATTCACAAAGGCCCTAACCAACACTTTTTTCGAAACTGCGTTTTTCATGGGTTTTGGTAGGATGTATTAAAACACCTCTCCACTAAAAATTGGAAAGTGTTAGTACTATATATTATAATGTTTTTTTGCCTCTCCTGTAAAATAAAAAATTTGCCGGTTAGTGCCTTTCCCTGGGGCCGAGAACGCGTTCCACTACTGAAAGCAGTTTTGTACGGGAACAATATGAAAACCAAAAGGTTCGGGAATGTTTCCGAAAAGAACAAAATGCGAACAAAACTCTCGTGAATTTTCAAAAGAAGAACAGAACGGGAACAAAACTTTCGGGAATAAAATAAGACAAAAATCTGGGGAACCTTCTGCTAGAGAACTAGACGAGGAAAAGTTTTAAGAACTTAACCTCAAGAATGAGAGGGGCGTCTACGTTTTGGGAAGAAACATCGTTTCAGTCACGATCGTAAATTCTAAGGATCATTTCAACTCACCTCGTTTATCATTGCGGTGAACTATTATTTATTTTTTTTTATGGCCTTATAACAATTACACTCAACAATTTTATTGAGCTTGAGGCCATTTTTAATGAAATCTATTGCGGAAAAACAACAATAGTTTAGTAAAATGGTAGAAGTTATAGCTGCTATTTCGGAGATCACCACATTTCTATATCAGACTTCTTCAGTGGGGTTCGATCCAACGACCCTAGCTGTCTCAGCCACTGGCCTGCACGCTGTACTTGTTTTTTTTCCAATTTTTTCATGTGAGCCAACTACAATCAAGCTCAGGTATTCCGCCACTATTACACTTGTGGTGGTTTTTTTGTTGGTTTTTGTTAATAATTCTATTTTTAGAATGTTTAACTTTTAGATGTGCTCGTCTTTAAGTTGCTCTGCACCTTAGCGGTTTATTGTAAAAAAGGGGAATAAAAAAATAAGCTCGAATAAAAAACCTTAATAATAAATTATAATAAATAGAAATTTATATGTATTCGAAAATATGTTGCAATCGTCTTTCTTACAGGACTCCACACAGTTTTTTTACTATGGCAAGGTGGGGCCTCCTTGTTCCTTTTTAATTCGTCGGAAGATATATATATTTTTTTTATGTATGTTACCATGTTACCGCATAACTTTGGACCACGTTATCCGGATTCTATAATTAATATTATTTTTTTTAAGACAAGGTGTTACCACACAGATGGTCCCATACTAGTTTGGTTTAAATCCGATCATTGTATCAAGAAGTAATTAACGATAATCTTAAATTTTTATATGAGAATTAAAGTCGGTTTTGTTTCTTGCTTAAAAATTACTTGTTTTTTTTTTTTAATTTTAGGCTACACACACTCTGATAGTGAAGACTGTTCGGATGACGAAACTGTGAATGGACAAAACGACTCGCATAAGGATTCTGCGAGTAGTTGTGGGGGTGGAAATTCCAAATCACGCCGAAGACGTACCGCTTTTACCTCGGAGCAACTGCTGGAACTTGAAAGGGAATTTCATGCAAAGAAATATTTAAGCCTGACTGAAAGAAGTCAAATAGCGACGAGCCTTAAACTTAGTGAAGTACAGGTGGGCAAACAAATACTACTTACATACATACATGTGTAAATATGTTCTTGTACATACTAATTGGCTTAATAAGCTGTAAAGCTATAGCAAAATATCGTCGCCCGTATGCCAGAAACATGCATGAGTAAAAAGAAAATTTTGGGAAATCAAGCTTGAAAGTTTTTCTTGACGAGAATTAACTGTAAAATATGTACTTTCCGTGTAGGCATGGTATTCTGTGTTTTGGTATAACATATAACATCCAAAGCTAAGTCAAGACAACACAATAACTCAAAACTGATAAATTTGCACATTCATGCTTCTGGCATGAGGATGACGATATTATATTAAGCTGATTACAAAAGTTACCCAGTTGTACTTAGTTGCCAATTAATCATTCTTTTTTCACCTCCACAAATAATTGCAGGTGAAAATTTGGTTTCAAAATCGTCGCGCCAAATGGAAGCGTGTCAAAGCTGGTCTCACATCGCATGGCCTCGGACGTGGTACTGGCGGTGGCACCAAAATTGTTGTACCCATACCTGTGCATGTGAATCGGTTCGCGGTGCGTTCGCAACACCAACAGCTGGAGAAAATGTGCCTGAGTGGTCCAAAACCTGATCTGCGCAAGAAAATGCCCACCGAGCTTAGCGGCTTCGAGAAGTTCAATGCGACCAATGGCGTGGTGGCGAGCTTAAGCAATGGCAGCGCTGCTGGTGTTCTCAGCGCTACAGCGACGCCGGCAGCATTAATGGCGGCAGCAAATATGGCGGCGGCGAATACAGTTACGGGTACTTTGGCGTTGGCGCGGAGCATTTATTGAAAAATTGCTAGTTACATAAGTAGTTCATATTTCTATGTTATTTTGAGATTTTCAACTGAATAATTAGGAAAGATTTGTAGTTACATTTTATTTATTTAGATTTTTTTTTTTGATTTTGTTTGATATTATTGTTTTTAAGTATGAGTTTGCAAAAAAAAAAAAAACTAAAATATTAAAATAAAATAAAACAAAACAAAAAATACTAAAGTGTACACATAAATTGAAATAGACTAAATAATAAGATGAGACAAAAAAATTAAAACTCAACTCTTTCTTTTCGCAGAATATTTTAAAAAGGCTGGTAATTGATGTGTATTACATATATTCATGGGCGTAGCCAGGTAGGGGCAGGGGGGTGCTCGAACCTCCCCCCTATCTTTCAAATTTTCCTTATATATATATAAAATAGTACCCTGAAATGCCAGCTTAATAGGGTCGAACAAAACATATAACAAAAATCTTTTTACGAAAACGAATTAAAAAACTTGAAATTTTTGGGATAGTTTGTTGATTTTTTTAATAGCGCACAAACTTTTTTAAAATTACAAACATTTTTAAAAATTGGATTATATAACATAAAAATAAATTATAAAAACTTATGGGTTATAATTTTGACAGGGGCTGTATGTATGTATGTATGTATGTTTTTACTAACCCAGGCCCGGCCGCAAGGAGGGGTTTTGGAGGTTTAAACCCCCCTGTGGAGGGAAATATGCATAAAATTGTGCCATCGTTTAGTTAATAATGGTAAAAATATTTTAAGATCTCAAATATTTGAGATATCTTTTCAGAGATAGTAGTCGAGAGATCTAGGTTTAATTTAAGTCAGGGATGTTCTACCTTTTGTTTCTTCGCTAGAGCTTCTAAAATATTGCAAGAACCGCGATTTTTTGTCAAAATCTGGAGCTGATGGAAACTTTATGCTTACGGATTCGTAATCAGCATAAAAAATCTATCACAAACAACTTTTACATTTGCCGCTCCGATTTTTTTTTTAATTTTTGTTGGGCTGTGTTATCCATTAAAAAATGAGTAAAAATTCAGATATCCATTTTCTCCCTATTAAGCTAGCATTTCAGGGTACTATTTTATATATTTATAAGGAAATTTTGAAAGTTAGGGGGGGCTCGAGCAGCCCCCTGTCCCTACCCGGCTACGCCCATGCAAGATAGTATGAAAGACTTTGGGCCTCATGCATAAAAAGTGAGCTTAAGCTCCGACTCGATTTTCAGTACAAATTCTTGAGCTTGAGCTCACCCTTTCAGTGCAAAAATTGAGTCTGAGCTTAAGCTCACTTTTTATGCATAAGGCCCTTTGTTTATTCTGGCACGAAAGTCTTACACAAAAAAAGCTTCTTTGCCAACTTCATGGTGAAAGCTCTTTTGACTGAAAGCACATGAACATGTTCCAGCTGGAGGTGTACATACATCATTTTGCTCGCGCTGCTCCAAGAGCCGCAATGGCCGAATGAGCAAAGCACTAGCGGGACATTCGACTGATCCGTGGTTCGAATTCTCGGTCAGCGAATTTTTTCATATATTTTAATAAATTTTTTCTTTTTAAAAAATTTTTTTTTTAATTTCATTTAATTTTTAAAAATTAAATCCTTTTCTTTTCTTTTTTTAATTAGATTTGTCCTATTCTAATTTAATTTTCTTTTCATTTTAAAATTTTATTGTTTTAAAACGAGCTCTTTTTTATTTTTATTTAATTCTTCCGAGTTTTTTTAACGTTAAGATTTTATGGATTTAAAAAGAAAAATATATGTATATATTTTTCAGTTTCATTTAATTTTTATAAATTTATTTTATTAATTAAATTGATTGCGTTTTGGTTGTTTGTGCTTCCGTTTCGGAGAACGAAAATGATGCTGAAGATGGCGCAACGCTGAAACCGGTTTGTCTCCAAACCAAATTCGAAAAGAGATGACAGAAAATCGTTTCACAATACATGATAGTATTTTTTTTTTAATTTATTTTCTCATGGATTTTCTGTTTTTATTGTTTTAGGAAGAAAAGTATATTTTTTTATATACTTAATTTAATTTTTCCAAACATGTTGCTAAAGGATAAACACAATAACGATTAGACCTCCTTTTCAACAGATCTTTCAATTCGTATTGTGCGGTCTCCTTTAGGATAGAAAGTATGTATGAAGCCCATTCGTTGGCGAAAATTTACAAATTACTATGTTATCAGATAACTACTACTACCAAATATTGATTATAAGAAAATTGCTGATGTTGACATGGAAATTAGGAGAAATTAGCCAAACTACATACGTACATACATGCCTACATATATGTATTCTTCAATTCACCTTATTCATTACACCAATTAAGTAGCTAATTTATAAAATTTATCACGCACCACACTTCGGTCCAAGTGGCCGGCAAATGTTGAACTCAAGTGCGAGTATATATATATGTATGTATGCCAAATAACCCAAAAAATTGTCGTTAAGTAGTGCGTGTGAATTGGTGCATAGGTACATAAGTGAGGAAAGTGAGAACAGAGAAAAGTCAACTGTCAATTTCACACATCGAGAGTCCATAACGAATAGCGTAATTTAACGCACCAAATTGTAGCAATTCACAATTTGAAGAGCCAACAAAACAAGTAACGATAGCGAGCCAACTGCTTATTTAGTTATACTAAGGGCCTACCGAAGTGGTTGGTAAACAGCCATAATGCGGTACATAGGATGTGAGTGTGATGGTACTTTTCGATCGGTGTGGATGTGTGGATTCAAATACATACATTTGCACATATGTATTTGTATGTATGCACGCATGTTGCTTACCATTTAGGCTCTCATTTACAGCATCAGCAAACAATCACTCCAGGTGTCTCACGTGTCACGCCCCAAAAAAAAAAAAAAAAACGACACAACGACACTAACTGCCAGACTGAGTCGATTAATCGGGTTGCGCCGCACCGCAATGGCAAAAGAGGGCGATTTCCTGTGTGCCTACCCAGCGGCTGCTGCAAATGCTTTAGGATTTTACCAAAGCAGGATTTGAAAGGGATCTGTGGCAGCTAACAGTGGCTTATAAGCGATTGAGGTTGACTTATTAGCTGCGTAATGAATTGTGTTTTGTGTGTGAGTAATTCTCACTCAGTCCGGTAAGAAGGGATGTAAACTCGTACGCACATAGAAGGCTATGTATAGTAAGTTACTCCTGCTGCATGCTGAATGCTTTGTCGTGCGTATAAAAATTATAAGTAAAGTGTCGTTTAAATGCGGCAAATTGCCTTTTGTTGTATGTATGTGTGTATGTATGTATGTATGTATTTTTCAACTCTGCTTTTGTATTCGATTTTATAATTGCTCTTTTTTGTTGTCGTTGTTGTTGCATTGGCAGTAAGTGAACAGCATATTTGCTGAAAAACCATTTGGACTGCCAACAAATTTGCGTCAACGATCAAACAACCCTCCGCTGCTACTGCTGCAGTTGTTGTTGTTGTTGTTGTTGCTTTTGTATTTCACTGCGTGTCACGCACTAAACCGTTTTATGTTGTGGCACGCCTCCAAGCGCGAATACATTTGTACAATTACACATATCACAAAATCACACACACCTTACAAACTCGTGTAATGCTTTTCTCGAAGTCGTGTAAATTGGTTTGCTATGTTTTGAAAATCCAATTGCTCTTTGCTCGTTTTTGTTAATTTGTTTCATTTAGTGTTTTGTTATACTTTTACTTGCACATGGCAATAATTGCATAACAGCGTTCAAAATCTGGAATGAAAATTTCTACAACTTTCAGTTCTTCTTCTTCTTGTTTAGCGCTGTAACCGCTTAAGCCAATTTGGCCGAGTTCAATGAAATACGCTAGTCGTTTTTCTTCTGTGCTTCTGGCATATATTTCAATCAATGTATTTCGAGAAACATGTACAATAAAAAATTAATCAAGTATTTGCACTATTTTAGCCTTAAAACGTTTATTTATACTAGAAAATACAGAAATTACAAATTTTTTCAAGGTCACTCGAAAAAATCATAGTTCCTTTTTTTTAAATAATTTTGAGAAGTTTTCAAATAGAATGTTCATATTAGCGACAATGAACGTTCCCATCAAATACGACATATCTGTGAAGTCTCAAGAGTGTGCCTCAAAATTGAAGTAAAATGCAGGATGCAGAACATATCGTCGCCTTAGAGTGTAAACCTGCTAACGACCAAAAAACATATTTTACTGTAGAGGCAAAAAAACTAAATATATGTTTAACTCTAAGTCTAAGGGGCAAATCCTACATATAGTTTGTTAATCGCGTTACGTTCTATGGCCCTAATCCACGAACGAATGAAAAAAATTACGAATTGGCGAATTTCTAACTTAGCAGGTTTTAGTTTTTGTATTTTCAAAATTGAAGTGGTTTTTTGTATGAATAAAATTGTTTCTATTTTATTTTTTGTGATTACGAGCTCAATTTAAATGTTAACTAAAATAGGATTCCATTCATAAAAACAATCAAATATATAAAATAATACAACAGATTTATTCTTCCGTTTATTGCAACAAAAATAGGCAGTTTATAAAACATATATTAGTAACTATACGTGAGTTATTCCTCTCTCAAATTAATAGTACAAAGCCCACATATAAGATAATTTAAGTAGGAACTCAATAATGCCAGAAAGTATGATACATATTATTCAATCATGAGGTAAATTGTTATAGTAGGCGTGGTAATCTTCAGGAAGTAATCGTTTGAAATACTGGAGATCTATAATACTTTCTGCGAGCAATCGTACACCTACTCTCATATAAATTCGGAAGGTGAGAAAACGGCAAGGAAACAGCTACTGGGGATTTTCTTTGCGTTGGAGAATCTTAGTTTGAAATGTATGCCGCCACTTGGTGTATACCGTAGGGCTCGTATATCAGTTACTTTAGCAGCACCTTTGCCGCGACCGGGACGAATGCTATTAAAGAATTGAACTGTGTTAAAGCTTTTAAAGAACGTGTAACTAAGATAAGTTACGTCATATGGTT